TTACATAATATTAAAATTTGTCATCCGGTTGTTGATCATTTTTGGCTAACAAAAAAATTATTCAGTTTTCACATGATTTGCTAAAAATTTTATCCCATAATTTTTAAGCAAGAAAGATCATTCTATATAAGTGCAATATCACCCTATGGGTGGGGTGGGTGGCGCGTCACGTTATTGTTATGACTTGAAATGATTGACATGTCATGATAGGTTAACGTTAACTTAACGTTAACATAAGATTAGTTTTTGAGTGATTTCCATTTTAAGATGCTGATCCCCCATCTTTGGTATTGATTTGCTGATTATATAAATACATTTCAAATCAAGCTTTTCTATTTTAGTACGATCGGCAACCAACAAATCTTTTAGTGTTTTAAATATCATTCACTTCCTCATCAGAAATGAAACAGTTAAGAATAATGTCTCCATTAGCAAGAAACTTTTCAAGCTTGTCAGGAGTCTTGGTCTTATTGAGCACCTCGGTCTTATCAGACATCTCGCTTTTCTAATACAAGGCCCATTGTGAGAAATTTTCGCTTGCATGCATACAAAATTCCTGGTATAAACATACCTTAAATTTTTTGCAGGAAAGTTGGCTGAACTTTCTCCACTATATGTTTTATATCTCTTTTTTCTCACTAGATTCGAAAAAAGACTAACAATAATATAGCTTTATCTGGTTAATTTTCTCCCGAGAAAATCTATTTTGAGGTAGAGCGGATTAGTTGAAGATGGAATATATAATCTCAATTTTCTTTCAGAAGAACAAAATGAATTAAAAGTTTCTGATTGTAAGTAAGATTTTAGAATATCTTTTGTATATGATTAATATTAACTTATAATAACCAATTTTTAGGTAAGATGGATCTTAACTATCTATTAAATCAAATTTTATTATTACTATTTAGAATTATTTAAACACTAAGGTTTAGAATAACAATATTTGCAAGTTTCTTAGTTTGTAATTTGAATAATATGCTTTATTTTATAAGTATATTTAGATAAATATATGATTTAATAGAGTAAAACAATTTATTTTTTAATACCATGAAAATTAAACCTTCATAATAAATAAATAAAACGATTACAAGTATTATTATTCAAATGACAAATAACAAAATGACTTTTCATTGCTTTTGTCATTTCAAGTTAAACATTTTTATAGTTTTTTTAATCAAACTCTTCCGATTAGCGTCTATTGCTCTATTTAGTTCATAAATTCAAATAACAATAACATGCGATTTACTTAATATATTATGGCTACCATTCAGAATTAATTGGACTTCATAATGTATATGTATTATTAAAGGTCATCACTTAAAATAATTTAGAAAATGACATAAATTTAAAAAAGAAATTATTCTTGCTAACGAACCTCTTATAAGAAAGAAAAAAATCATTATGCAGTAAATATATTAATTAAATCTTGATGATTGTAAAAGTTCTCTCGAAAATTGTTAATATTAATGTTTAACTAGTTATAATATACTGTGAATATTGTAGAATTATAGAAATTATTAAATTAATTACCTAGAAATAATGTTAATTTGACAAATTTTAAATAAAACGTCATGATTGTAATCAAAAGACAACAGATAAATTAATTGGATTTTATAATCGATCGAAAAATTTTGGGGAACTCAAAGTAATACTTGAAAGTGTTAATAAAAAGATGGTTTGAAGAGATAAATGATTAAATATTTGAAAAAAGTTATTTAAAGAAAAAATTGTATGATAATAATACTTATTTAATATTTTATGGTAAAGTATAAATAACGAATAACGCAATGCTAGGTATCCGACGAGAATAATATATAAAATGGATATAAAATTTAAATTTAAATGAATATTTATAACAAACTTACATGAAATGAAAAGATTCAAAATTATTAATTATATATTGTAACTCATAATGATAGAAATGTATTATTTGAATAATATTAAAACTGTTTAATCTTAGTAATCTCGAATCTTGTCATAATAGTATAGTACTACTTCAAATAATTCCCGAAGTTCTTTGTGAGAAATCTCACTTGGCCAACCATTTTTTACTTTATGATCATTAAGATGAAGCCAGGAAACTCCTTAAAATTATAAAGAATAATGGAGATGATGGACGGACCAACAAAAAGACTTGAATCGCTAATATTTATTTTCTTACTGATATATTTTGTATACAGTATTGTCAAATGAACAAAATAAATAACAATACACATATTAATATAATTAACTTTCAATTAAATATAAATTTTTGCTGAAGGCCTAAGTTCTAGTAATATTTTTTTAGAAATTTAGTAATTACAAATTAAGAAAGCAGATATTTGAAGAAAAAGTACGCGTTTAAAATATTTAATTATATTGAGATTATCAGTAAGGTTAACAACCAGGAATCTCTGGAAATTTCGAGGTTAGATTTCGAACTTTTTTCAGCTGCTTTCTGGCATAATTATAAAACTGTGAATTTAGCTTCTTAATTTCTTCATTAGGAAATTTTTTTTAGATAGGCGTAACCATGTTTGTGTAAATATACGTAAGCTTGTGTAAATTTTTGTAAATTTCTTACGAAAAATTTACGTGAATTTGTGTAAACTTACATAGGATTATACTCCCATCGCATGAAGAACATATAAACCAAAAAAGAAGAATATTCAAATGACAAAAGTGAATTTGAAATATTAGCAAAATTTTATTACTAAAACAATATTGTTCAAGAAAGAAACTTCATTATTCTTTATTTCATATTTATTCGTATATAAGCAATATTTATGCTCAAGAATTTTAGAAAAATAAAATAAAATATTACTTAGTTTACTCACTAATTATTGTTTGACTCAGTAAGGGGATGGCCAGAAATGAAAGGACGTAATTTAAATTTTAGGATTTTTGACCCCCCCCTTTCTATGTCATCATCCATTTTAGGAAATGTAAAATTAAAACATAATTATATTAACTACAAGTGTCTGTAACGGAAAGTTAACTAGAACTTTTATTTTTTTCAAAATTTGATTTAACTCTACAATCTCGCTGTTGCTTTCATCAATAATCTAATACTATAAATTATAATAAAAAATTTTGGAATTACAAATAATGTTGTATAATTTATTTGAGAATTTTTGATGATGTCTCGAAATCTAAAAAGAAGGTAGATAAATGAATCAGAAAAAATACGGCCCGAAAGAAAACAAATTAAATGAACACCCATAATCGGAGTAATTCCGCTTTTGATTTAAAATATCCTTTTTTAGTAACTCCTTATTATAAATATAAAAAAAAAAAATATTTTTTTTTCGTTCAAAAAAAAAAAAGTTTGTTTGAATACTGTATAATGCGAAAATAACCTAATGGAAACCGAATTTAGTAAATTAAATATCTCAGGTGGAGATTCCAATTACAAAAATTGTTCGTATTGTAATAAACCTTTACTGAAGAATTATGGTGTAAATAATGTGACCCATTTAGAATAATAGAAGGATGGACCAGTGGAAATTCTGATATTGATAAGTTTATAAAAGATACAATGTATATAAAAGAGAAGACGGTTATAATTTTCTTGAATGGGTACCATTTGATAGATTTACAGATATAAAAGAAATTGGTGAAGGTGGATTTGCCAAAGTATATTCTGCAACTTGGATTGATGGTAAATTAGAGTATCATAAAAATGATGATGGAAGTTGGAAAAAAGAAGAACCTAGGACTAAAAAAGTTGCCTTGAAAAAGCTAAATGGATCACAGAATATGTCAGATAAATATTTAAATGAAGTACGTTTTTATACTATATTGTATCTTATTTAATTTATTTCATTTAGGTGTTTAATATTAAAAATATTAAATCATTTTATTTTTTTTATTTTAAATTTATTAAAATATAGCTTAAAATACATTGGAAAATTTCTAATATGAGTGGATAAAGTTTTTATGGATTAACTAAATGCCCAGAAACTAAAGAATTTATGATGATTATAGAATTTGCTAATGAAGGAAATTTAAGAAGTATTCTTTCAAATAAATTTAACAACATTATGTGGGAAAGTAAAATTTATTATTTGTATCTTATGCTCATAGACCTAAAAGATTTACATGAATTAGGATATTGCCATAAAGATTTTCAAAGTAATATTTTACAAGCTGATACTACTTATATTTCAGACTTTGAGTTATCAGGACCAGCAAATGAACAAAAATTAGATGGTAAAGTTTATGGAGTAATGCCATATATTGCACCAGAAGTTTTAAATGGAGAACCATATACATTATCATCCGATACTATTTATAGTGTAGGTGTAGTTATGGCTGAATTATCATCAGGAAAACCACCTTTTTACAATAAAAAACATGATTTAAGTTTAGCATTAGTCATATGTAATGGACTCAGACCAGAATTTGGAAAAGGAACTCCAGAAATTTATAAGAAATTAGCTTATAAATGCACGAATGTTAATCCAAATGAAAGACCAACATCTAGAGAATTTTACGATATTTTTAATTTTTGAATGATTCTATTGAAGGTAGTTATGGTGAAGTAGAAAAATTCAGTTATAAAAGAAAAGAATTTAAAGCAGCATTTGAAGAAGCTGATAAAGAAATACAAACATATCATCTCAACTTCGTATAAAAAGAATTCTGATGCTGTATTTACCAGTAGAACGTTTACATTTGGTAATTTATTACCAAAACCTGTTAATTCATCCCTTATTACATCATATGTTAATAATGAAGGTATTTTCTATTTTTCTATTTTTAAAATTTTTATTTTTACTTAAGTAATTATTAAATTATTGTTTTAATAGTTTTTGACTCTCAATTAATCGACTTGGAAGTATCTAATTCAATACAATTAGGAGGTGCTATATTACTAAACATAATTTAATATTATACTATACATTTTAATATTCTAATAATATTTATATTGCTGATATTTAGATATTGACGATGAAAGTAAGGTTGATGATTTAGTGAATTAAATTATTTATTTGCTATAGTATAATTGATAGCTTAATTACTCTATAATGCACTAGCTGCTGTAATCTGTTGCGTTGCAACAAGATTAATTTATGGTAATATACAAATTATACCCTTCCTTTTCCTGCTACAGGCTTATCTTTACATAATTTTTTTTGCACTGTTCAAGCAGTTGCCATATTTCTTTCATATATTATGCATTAGTATTATATTGATTATAAATTATAAATCAGATATGCTTCCATAATCAAATTTTTATTTATATCATTAAATTTTACTACAACTTATTAGAGGATAGAGATAATCAAAAAAAATTGCAATAAAAAATGAACAATAAAAACATAATAACAAAAAAAACCTTCTTTATTGACATTATTAGTTATTATTAATAATTAATAAATAAAAATTCAATAAAATGTATAATAATAAAAAAAATCTATTTAACAATACTAAGAAAAATCAAAATAAATGATAATAAAAAAATTTTCAGTAACTGAATTTCATGTATTTATTTACATTGTAATTAGTAATATTTGTAAGTCATAATTGTCCGAAGCATACTAGCAGGGCTCACTCATATAATATCTTCCATTATGCTGCGCCTATGGCAACGTTAACATAGGTGATTATGTGTGTATAATGTTTTAGCCTTCAGGTTCCCATTACTAGTGAACCATATACAAATTTGCCGGATTTTTTGATTATTTTAAATAAAAAAATATTTTTAAAATTTTGATAAACAAATTAGCAATAAAATAATGATAAAATACCGTATAGAATGTGAAGAATGTAATAAAAATAACATAACATAACACAAGCAAAATTTTAATATTACACAAATATTATATAAAAAATAACAAATATAATGACTTCATAAAAGAAAAATATTATTTCTTAATAAATAACATTTAATTTAAAAGATATCTTTATTTTCAAATTTATTTTAGCTATTTAAATGATCATTTATTAAAAGTATTATTTTAATTATTTAATTTTTAAATTTAGCAAATATATTATACTCAGCTTTTTATTTCATAGCAAAAAATTGTTGTGATCCACATTTTTAAAAATCTTGCACTTCATCATATGATTTAGTACTACGGCCCTGCCACAAGGGACTTCCTAAGAAGCGCACTATGCTCCTCCCATGAAAATTACGCATAGCACCATGCCGTACCACAACCAACCAGCCCTACTGTGAGACTACAGCAAAAGCTGGTACTCACAGGCTTACAAAGTAAGCACGCTATGCTCCCACCCAACGCATAGCATCATGCTGCTCCAATAAAAATACCCAAAGCTAAAAATAATGAAGAAATAAAATAAAAAAATAAAAAAAAAACTGTAAAATAACAAAAAAAGTGCACTTACCTTCGGTCCTATCGCAGGACTGCAGCAAAAACTGGTACCTACGAGCTTACTAAAAGTAAGCGTCTATGCTCCTTCCCTCGCATAGTACTATACCGCTCCAAGTTCCCAACCAGCCCTACCATGAGACTGCAGCAAAAGCTGGTACTCACAGGCTTACAAAGTAAGCACGCTATGCTCCCACCCAACGCATAGTGTCATGCTGCTCCAAAAGAAATACCCAAAGCTAAAAATAATGAAGAAATAAAAAAGTCATAATAAAAATAAAACTGAAAAATAACAAAAAAAGTGCACTTACCTTCGGTCCTATCGCAGGACTACAGCAAAAACTGGTACCTGCGAGCTTACTAAAAGTAAGCGTCTATGCTCCAACCCTCGCATAGTACTATACCACTCCAAGTTCCCAACCAGCCCTACTGTGAGACTGCAGCATAAGCTGGTACTCACAGACTTACAAAGTAAGCACGCTATGCTCCCACCCATGCATAGCATCATGCTGCTCCATCGAAATACCCGAAGACTACTTAAACATACTACAATATTTCCAAACATATAAAGTATGACGACGAAAACATAGTTAATATGGACCCAACAAAATACCTAGAAGTCACTTAAGTATTTCCATAAGCAGACGGTGAAAAAGAAAAGTTATAAAAATCGACTATGGGCTAGAGGAAGGTGGAGAGACGACAAAATGAAACGTCTGGAACCTACAAAAGAGAAAGCCAAAACGTTAGTAAGCGTTTTGCTAAATAAAAAAAAACAAAAAAAAAACAGTTTACCTTCGAAATTCTGTCCAAGAGATGTCCAGAGAGCCGTGGTCCTAGACAACAGTGGGAAAGATGAGAGGGAAGAGAAAAAAGCAGAAAGAATAAGAAGGAAGTAGGACAAGTGAATAAGTGAAGGGTTTTTATAGTTTTTATACTTTAGAGTAGGAAAAACTTCGGCTAATTTTATGCGTGACTAATATTTACATCAATAAAAGTTTTTTTCATAAAGATGACTCATAATTATATTACGCGTCGCGTATAATTATAATAGGAAATTGTTAACTGGTTAACTGATCAAAATCACAATTTGAGATTCCGATTTCCGATTTAGATATATTAGTATTGTTTTATTAATAATTATTCGAAGTGATGCTTGGGTTGTACTACTGCCACCCTTGGAAAATACTATAAAATAGTGATTCTACATTACGGTTGAAATAAATAACTTAAATATCATATTACTAAAGTTTATGAAAAAATACTCTGATACAGAAACTTCATTACGAGTTATTCTGTATTTAAGTTTTGTCATTTTAGTGCGCTGTTATGTATTTTTTTATCAAGTACGATTTTACAGTACGANTAGATATATTAGTATTGTTTTATTAATAATTATTCGAAGTGATGCTTGGGTTGTACTACTGCCACCCTTGGAAAATACTATAAAATAGTGATTCTTCATTACGAGTTATTCTGTATTTAAGTTTTGTCATTTTAGTGCGCTGTTATGTATTTTTTTATCAAGTACGATTTTACAGTACGATAATGCCTGATTATTTCAGCCAATTATATTGACAGGATTTAAATTTGTATCTGGCCAAAACAATTTTAAAAAATTTTTTGTATTACTTCGAGATTTACAGCAGGTATTACGAAATCATCTACATAAGATCATACCCGCCAGTATTTAAACCAAAATAAATTTAATAAATAACTCTCACTATCTCACATTAATCACGCTATTCATATTATTCATCACGCTGCATCACATTCTACACTTTTTATTTTTATTATATATTCTCACCCATAAAAAATTTATTTTTTGGAAAAAACTCCGATAAATGATCGTTTTTCTAGGATGGCATTCGTGTGTTCGATACATGTAACGACGTGTGAATTAGTGTCTGCAGCTTCATGGCATTCTTGACAACTGATAATCCCTTCTGGGGTATAAACGTGGATAGTTGCATTGAAGTATGTCTGCCATAAAATTGGATTTTTTAATTTTACCACCTAGTTCGAAGAAACTTTTATATAATAAAAAAAAAAGGTGAAATTTATATTTTAAAATTTTCTTTATAGTTAATAATTAATTATTTCACATAAAAATATTTTTTAAATGGCCTTTATATATACTAGTTAATAATGAATTATTTCATATAAAGATATTTTGTTAAATGGCATTTGATAATTAACAACTTTTTACTAAAACTGTAATAGTTGTTACAATTCTTAACTTTTAAACTACCAAACGAACTTAGTTATCTCCGGACTCCATATTAATTAAAATACGCAGCGTGCGTCACGTAACTTGTTCAGGTAAAACAATTTAAATTCATACTGTACGTAATAATATTGAATTTAAAATTCACAAATACTCAGACTAATCATAAATTACGGTAATGGCAATTATTTAATCGATTATTTCAGAAGTATCAGTATCACAAGAAAATATACAAGTAACTATCAAAGGCAAAAGTATACAATATATATATATATGGGACACAAGACAAAATTTTTGAAGTCAAATTTGCAAGACAAAAAAGTTAATCATATTTATTAATTTCGATGATTGAACGTAATAAGTGTTAAATTATCTAATTTATCTTTAATTGATAAGTATGTAACTTTTATTTCATTTTGCTTAATTATTTTAATTACCAATTTATGTGAACTATTTCAGTTGATGAAAAATTTTTAGCATGGATAGGTGTACGGACAATAAGGTATAATAAATCTAATATTTGACCAAAAAAAAAATTATCTCATCGGTAATGATTTTAATTCAGAAAACACAATTCATAATTTATGGTTACTTACTATAATCCTGGCATCCCTTAGTACACCTAAATGAAAATAATTGTCGAATTGAAAATTACTCCCAGATCATAAAGTTGTTGATCACAGCAATTCATTAAACCACTAGTCGAGCCATCAAGAATAGAGTTAACGCCGCAGGTAGATCTATTCTGTATATCACAAACTGACAACGATACTAGCTAAAGTTTGGCAATCATCACAAGATGCTTCAGTCTTACGAGAAATAGAGCAGAGTGCCTGCTAATACGGTAGCGAATTTCATATTGGTTTCTTAAGACTTCGTATGATAAAGATCTGGATATATTTGAAAATAAATGATTCAGGTTAATATTTTTAGGCAAGACTGATCAACATTTGAGTGGTGTATGATGATATAAGTAAGTCGAAAAAGAGAGATAAAACAAAAAGATGCGGTGTACAATCAACAGTTGAGTTGTGTATGGTCAACGGTTGAGTAGTGTATGGTAAGACGAAAGGAGAGTTAATGCAATAGTTATTCCGGTGGTGTATGGTAATACATTAACTAGCCCTGCGTAACAAATAATGGTGCGACAGATAATGTTTTCGGCTTGTATCATAATAATTTTGACCAGATCATCTTATTTATCACTCGAATATGTTGTCATATCGAATATTATAATGTCATTATAATATGTAAAAGGAGCAAATAAACAAATTTATGTCGTGTACTCTATAAGTGTTGCAAAAGGTTTGAAGATTTCACTATAATATGACAAATAAATTTCAATTCTATTATGGTAAATTCTTAAATGTTCTTGCGATTAAATCAATTTAAATTAGACAAATAAATCGTACAACAAAGTTACCACTATATTATCTTATGTATTTGATAGCAATACTTTCTCTGCAATATCTCCTTTATTTAGGATTTCTTGCATCTATTATAAATTGGATATCCGATTTAATTAAATGATTTCGAGTACAATATTTATAGTATAATACTAGCAACAGCCCTTTGCTTCGCATCGGGATCAATGAACTTAAACCATATAGGTAATTAATTACGCACACAAATAATATTCTAAATAAGCTGCTGCATGAACAAAAATATTAAATTCTTTAAAATTATTAAATTTATAAATTTCAGTGACGATATCGTCATTACACTAATTTATCCATTTTATCGTATGCAATCCGTAATAATTTTAACGAGGACATGTTACTTTGTTACACATTACATATTTCTAAACGCTTGGAATACAGTAAAAGTTTCAAGAAGTTGTAAAGATTATAAACTTGGTATGATTTTATTTTTCTTCTTTTCTTATATTATATTTTAAAGAAATTTAAGTAATAACGAAATTTTATCATTGTTTAGGCGATAAATTTATAAATTTCCATCTTTTTTATAGTGATATTCAGCTTTATAAAAAAAATAATAATAATAAAACTTCTATAATTTAATTTTTTTACAATATTATATTCTCGTAAATTTAATCATATGATGGTACGATGTAAAATTATTAGTACGGAAATTCAAAATTTATTATTAAAAGGTCCCATTAACCACGCAATGGTAAGCCCAAAAAATGATATCCACAGTAAAAACCACTCGTTTTTTTAGTAAGAAAAGGTTCATTTACTTTATGTTTTTAGGATACAGAATCACTTAGAATTGTTCGAAATATTCCAAAATGTCTTATTCACTAATTAAAATAAAATTTCAAAAAAATTTTTTTTTTTTGGCTAAACTTCTTATTTTACTGTAAATATTTCAGGCCGAATTATTGTAATGTTTCTCCAATTCAAAATTCTATTTAATGTCACGTCTTTGCAATTAATTCACAAAAAGACCCGCATGAGTATGGAGAAATTGAAGTTTTTTTTGAACGTCCGTACTAATTTGTATTACCATATTGTACTAATTTACTATATACAGCAGTGAATAGTCTACCCTTAAATTATTCACGTAAAAATATTTGTTAAATGGCATTTAGTAATTAACAATTTTTAAATCTAGTTGAAAGTATTTTTCACTAAAACTGTAACAGTTGTTATAATTCTCAACTTTTAATGCACCAAATGAACTTAGTTATCTCTGAACTCTGATAACATTAAATTTTAATTATTTAAAAAATACAAGTGTGCGTCGAAAAACAAACAATTAAATTCGTATTGTACGTAATAATAATACTGATTTTAAATCTATAAATGCTTGAGTGAATCATGAATTACTAGTCTTGAAAACGGTACTAGCAATTATATTATCGAGTATTCTAGAAATTAGAAGTATCACAAATGAAATATAAGTAGAAAAAATTATCAAAAATTTAAATATATATTTAGGACAAAATAAATGAATTTGCAAAACAAAAAAGTCGTTGATTATATGTATTAATTCATTTGAAGTATAGACATAATAAATGTTAAGAATATCTAATTTAGCTTGTCTCTAGGATGTGAATCACTCCAATTGATGGAAAATTTTTTAACACGGAGGTTTGTACGGACAATAAGATGTAACTAAAGATACTGCACCTAATATTTGGTAAAAAATAAATTAACAGCTTCACGACAATGATTTTTATTAGGGAAAAATAATGCATAATTAATAGATACTTACTTGGATCCTGGCAATCATTAATACACCTAAATGGAAATAATTATCAGTTATGCTTTATAAAGTTTGTGAACACTTCTAGAATTACAAATTACTTACTGCGCTATAAGTAATTGTTGAATATCACAGCAATCAATTAACAGAGGCGGTGAAGGAGGGGTATCAGAAATAGAAATAGAGTTAGTAACGCAGGCAGAGCCGTTTGCTGAATCACAATAGAGAATGTTCTGAGCTACAGTTAGGCAGTCATCACAAGATGCATTTGTCTTGTTTATAATAATTGAGAAAAAGAGCAGAGTGCCTGCTAATACAGTAGTAAATTTCATATTAATGACTTCGTATGATAAAAAGTCTGGATAAATTGAAGAATAAACGATTCAAGTTAATATTATTTATCTTTTTATATTTATAAGATGAAATAATGAATGATGTACACTTGAAATGGATTTTTAGAAAACGTCCACAAAATCCGCATAGCCAAGCTTTTATAAATAAATAAATATATATATATATGATAGGATTTATCGTTTGAGTTCTGAGACCAAATCAAATCCCGTACTAAGTAAGACGAAAGGAGTGTCGTACGATCAATAATTGAGCGGTGTATGGAGATATAGGTGCTGTAAGTTGAAAGGAGAGATAGGCGCGGTGTACAGTCAATGCAACAGAGTGGTGTATAGTCAATGATTGCATGGTAAGACGAAAGAAGAGCGTACATTAACATTTGGATGGAATGTACGGTAAGGGTAATTCCCGGTCGGATACAGCATATAGCACTGTGTAACATACGATGGTAGGAGAGACAAATAATATTTCCGGTCTCGTCATTATAAAAATTTTGACCGGTTCATCTTTTATCACCTGAATATGCAGTCTTATCGGACGTAACTTCGAAAGGTGTTGCAGCAGAGTTCGAAGATTCAGTTACACTTCGCAAACAATTATATTTTGACCTATCTATAATATTTTGATCCTATTTTAAAGAATTTGTTGAAGAAACTTAAACAAATCTATATTAGACAATATCAATTTTAATAAGTACTAGAAGTATTGTGATAGAATTTGAAGATTCGCTAATATATGACAAATAAATTTGATTATATTACGTAAACAACGACCCCTGATTTTTTGTAAATATTTGAGTCCTAAAAATAATAAGGTTAATGCATCAAATTTTTTTTCGATGAGTCGTGCAACGAAAATAATACTATATTGTCTTATGTATTTGGCAAACAATACTTCTTTGTAATATTCCCTTATTTAGGATTTCCTGCACAACGAGCATCTATCTATTATAGATTGGATATCCGATAAAAAAATTTGGTTTTAAATCATTTCTAATACAATATTTATATTATAATATATATAGTAGATAGCTAAAAAGTTAGATATATTCACAAATTCTTTTAATTTTTTTGTTCATTCATTATAAAGAATTTTATGATTTGTCAAATTTATTTGTCAGCAAGAATTATCTGTTATTGGTCGTAAAAAATTTGAATAAATAAGGTTATTTTAAATTCATTATATTAATCATAAAACTATTTAAACAAAGAAATGCATTTAACAACATATCACAGGGAATGTTTATTGCATCCAAACTAATTAAAATACTGAATAATAGTATTGAAAATATAAACCGAAACCTGCGTTTATTGCATTTTTTATAAAAGAAACAAAAGAAATATCCTACTACAAGGGTTATATCCTTTATACATAATGAATTCTATAACAACAATGGTACGAAATATTGAATATTTCACTATAGTAAATACTCTAATAGTTATACAGAAAATTGATAAAAGAAAACAGTCGAATAATATCCTTCAGTATTTTCAGGTAAAATCTTATTAGGATCGGTCCCAGAACCGGCATTCGCGGTCTTGGTCCATGATTTTAGGGCCGGTCTGGACCGATTATATAAATTTATTCATCCAATAAAAAATGACAAATTATATTTATTAATTGAAAATTGCTAAAGCTCACTAGCGGTAATTGTCACCATACCAGCATTAAGATGCACTTTTGGCCTGAATTAAAATTTAATAAAACACTGACCGGCATTACATCATAAATCCACCACTGGTGACCGTCACCACTGGTGATATTTAGCAATATCCTTATTAATTATTATTATAACAAAATTCTGCCAATTAAGAAACAACATCCAGAAATTAAATTTACATAAGTTTATACCTCCGTCGAAGGTTTACGCCTAAAAAATTTCCTGCCGAATTTACAAATTATAAACAAATGCACCAAAATTCGTTTAAAAAGATCTTGACTTATTGCATATAAATTATTAATCAACGTTTAAGAAATACATTAAATGGCTATATTTTAAAGCCTAGTAATCGGTGTTTATCTTCTTAATAAACTAATACATTGAAAACATTAGATACAAATAAATGTAATAACGCTTTTCTATTCTAATTTTTTTGGTTTAGTAACTATCATATTAGAAAAGAAACTTTTTATGATTAAACTGTTTAAACTTAACATTTTCTTTATGCGTTAAAAATAGTATATATTATGGGATGCATTAACTTTACAAATAATGTGTAATTGATTAAAGATTATATTTGGCTCATACAGTATTGAGAGAGAAAGAGAAATATTTTTTTTCTAGTTTGCATTACTCTGTTTTTATAAGTGAAATATCGATAAATTATTTCCTTAATTCATTTAATCTACTCTTTCAAAAATCTTTTTCTACTTCAAATTGTTTAATTTATTCACTATTTAATAGTATTATATTTCTTTTTCTTTAGACTTAAGGTTGAATAGCAGCTAGTATGAAATTTCTATTTCTAAAGAGCCAAAGAAATTACATTTTTAATTTAAGATTATCATAAATAATATATAATAATAATAATCAAATCTAATTAGATCAGATATCAAGATTCAGTTTGAAGTAACTATTTTAAATATATTTCGATAATATACAATACGGATAAAATTTCTTGTTCAAAAAATCTGCACCTATGAATAGTTTTTTTAATAACAATTAAATGTTATAAATAGTTTTTTTTTTTTAAAAAAAAGGGGGGTATATTCTAATAATTGTTTTTAGTTTATTCAATTATTAAAATACTATCAAATCTCTTAAAAAAATATTTCTCATTTTATTCTTCGAAAGACTACTTTTACAAATATAATCCTAAATTAGAAGGTCGTACAATTAAATGTATGATTTGTGCAATTTTTGTAATAAAAACTCCGGTTTCAGGTCTTATTTATTTAACGAATTCATTTTTTTTCAATTGTTTAAAATTAAAAAAATTTTTTTATTATGACTTCTATTCGAGAAGACATAGTTTTTGCTGCACTTAATAGAGCATATGCAATAACAGATTATAATATTCAAAATACTATAAATAAACAATTTGAATTTAGACAACGAACTATTCTTGCTGACAAATCTCTTACAAAAGATGAAAAATCATATACAGCAAAAATATTAAATGAAGATTTTGACAATTTTAAAATTCTTTATAATAAAGGAACAAAAAGAATTTGTGAAAATTGTCATAATGAATGTTTAGCTACATTATATTGTGAAATCGAAATTTTCAAACTGGACATCTGGAAATAATGATATTGATAATTTAATACAACAATGTCAAATGGAAACATTTAGGCCAGATAGAATTATAGAATGGATCCCATATAATAAATTACAAAATATTAAATATTTAACTAAAGGTGGATGTTCCGAAATTTATAAAGCATATTGGATTGATGGATTTTATAATGAATGGGATTTAAAAGAAAAACAATTAAAAAGGTATAGAGGACATAATGTAGTACTCAAAAAGTTAGAAAATGTTGAAAGTGCTAATAGAAGTTGGTTTGAGGAGGTATGTAATTTAGGAATTATCTGTGAAAGTAACTAAATATTTACTATGTAGTAATATCCATTATTTTTTTATAGGGTAAATCTCATTTATCTATAAGTAACAAATGGGTACAAGTTGTTCAATGTTATGGTTTAACAAAAGATCCATCAGATGGGAATTATTTACTTGTAATATTTGCATTGGACTATAATTTAAGAGAATATTTACAACAAAATCATGATAAACTTACATGGAAAAGAAGATTTCAAATCATTGATAATATTGTTGAAGGAATTCGTAAAATACATGAAGAAAATGCAATTCACAGAGATTTGCATTCCGGAAACATATTATTATCTACAACAGATATTCGTATAAGTGATCTTGGATTTTGTGGACCAGCAGATAAACCATTAAATAGTATATATGGAAATCTCCCTTATATTGCACCCGAAGTTATTTCTGGAAAAGAAACTACTTTTGCATCTGATGTTTACAGTATTGGTATGGTCATGTGGGAAATTTCATCTGGACGACCGCCTTTTATTAATTTTGAAAATGATTATGAACTTGCACTAAAAATAATTAATGGAATGAGACCAAAAATAATACCGGGAACTCCTTTAGAATATAAAGATATGATGAAACAATGTTGGGATGCTGATCCAGAAAAAAGACCTGATATTAAAACTTTCTTTAATAAAATAAGAAAAATTAATAGGTTAAATTATCAAAACGAAATAAATGAAGATAAAAGTATATTTAAAAAATTATTCGAAAAAATTAAATTATCCACAAAAATAAATGTCTCGAATAATTTTGAGACTAATAATACAAGTACAAGCAGGTTATTTACAAGTAAAGTTTATCAATTTAAAAATCTTCCTGAACCAAAAAATGCGACTGAAGGTCGGTATAATTATATTTTTATATTTAACAAAATGTATATCATACAACGCATTACTAACATAATTTTTTAAATAACCATTTATATAAAATTTAATAGAAGAACAAGAAGGTATACACGTATATAATTTTTTTATTATTTTTATATTTGAAATTATTTAATTAATTAGATTAATCTTAAAGAATTTCATAGTAAACCTTATGGCTTTAGCATTCCTTATAATAGTGAGTATTAATTAAAGTTATACAGTAAATTAAAATAGTAAACTTATTCGTTTTTATTTTTAGTTGAAGATTTTGATAACAAAAGTAATAATAATACATCAAATTCAAGTAATATACCTGAAGGTATAAATAATTATTAAATTTTATAGTCTTATTTTTTGAAATAATATATTAATAATTCTTTCGGTTTAATAATTAGATAATAGCAAAAAACTGTCTAAAGTATTTAAGAAAATGCAAATTAATTCAAATAATGGTAAGTTCAATCATAATTCTAATAAATCATAATTTACTATATTGATAATAATTTTTTTTATAGATAATCGAGATAAATATAATGAAGAGACTATACAAGTAAAAAAGAATAATATTGATGATATTAATGGTACAATTTATTAATTTTATTTAATAATAAATTTTTTTAAGTTTTTGAATTATAATAAATATTTAATTTTATCCTATTTTTTTTCTTTTTATTAGATAATGATGAAATATATAATAAACCAAATTTCCATTCAGAAGAACAAGATGAATTCGAAATTCCTAATGGTAATTACAATTTAAACATATATTTGAAATTTGTTATAGACTTTTTGTAATAACTTTTTTTTTTCGTTTAAATACAGATGGATTCTAAATTATTTACGTTGTATTATTTATATATATATTTAATTATTTAAACACTAAGAATAGAGTAGCAATTAGCAAATCCGTCTCTTAGTTTGTGATTTGAATAATTCATATTTTAACGTTTTAAATAAATTATTATATAATATATTATTTACTATTTGTAGAGTAGCGTATTGAAAATCGATATTGAAGTTATTCAAATTCATAAAAATCTTAAATCTAAACGAGAATACTTAATAGTTACTCGGCACGAAGTGCCGAGTAACTGTTGTATTTGCAATAAGCAATATGATTGGTGGGATTTACTGAGCGCAGCTCAGTAAATTTTACTGATCATATTCTTATTGCAAATACATGTAAGGCACGACAGTGCCGCAGTTATGAGGTCACGTTGTGCCGAGTAACTGTTTTATCAGGCTTACGTAATAGGTATTTATTATACAGCTTAGTAACTGGTTGTACTAACATAAATCACCAATTAGTAAATGCCTGATAAAAATTATTACAATAGCAAAAATGTCATACATAAGATCATATCTCATTATTATTTATTTCATATATAATGAAAAAAAGCTAATTCACTCTTTAACCAAATTAATAAAGAAAAGATTTAGTATTGAATCAACGTAAAAAAATTATTCTAAGATACGTAAATAACGTAAATAATTGTAAATTGTAATGTCTTCCTTAACGTAAATGTAATTTACTTGTTATATACATCAATTGATATATTCTTTTGATCAAAATTATTTCCACTCTGAAATTTTTTATGGTCGTATGATTTATTTAGATACAAAAAAAGATTTAGTATAGTAACGATGAAATATAATTTTAACAGTGGAGTTTTTTTGTTTATATATATATATGTATTATATACCTGTTTCCGAAAAAAAAAAAAAAAAAAAATCTTATTTACATTACGTCTATTTCTTCGTATTTTTAAATAGACTATTGACACTTGAATAGGGTTTCGATCCGTTATCCGAATTAGAATCCGGATTGAAATCCGTATTTCGGATTTAGATCCGGATTAAGACTTGTAATTCGGATTAAAATCCGGATTAAATTATATTATCCGGATTAAATCCGAATTAGACTTATTATCAATAAATTATTTAATAATCGTTTTATTTATTGTAATTTTACTTTTTATCCTCAGAAACAGCCGGTTAACTGCTAACAGATCACTTAAATATTTTTAAACCGCAAACGCCTATGTACTAGATTATGGTTTGGATCATTCAATACACTAATCAAACATCAAATGAATTTGTCGTTTTATAAAATGCAAGAATCTTCTTGATTTTAAAATATACCAATCATTGTGGTTATTCTCCCACTAATTATGGGATTCAATGAGCTTAAATTTTTCTTTCAAATGGGATCTGACCAGTTTATAGTGAAAACAATTATTACATTTTATAATAAACTTGATTAGTGCTGAAACTATCATGAACGACGGAATAAAATTGGCAAAAGGTCGCGCGAGAGACAATAATGAATTTAAGTACTAAGATATTTTGACTCACCATGTGGCATGTGGTGATAAACGTGTATAATTAATTTACAAAATGTCTGTTAAAAAATTGTGATCATGATAATTTCCAAACTATAAAGAGCCTCTAACCCATAAAGTATTTTAGTAATTAATTGATAAAATTGTAAAAAAAAATATTACTAATTAACTTTTTTATAAATAAAATTTGAAATGATGTTAATTATTTTGGATACACAGACCCACCAAATCAATCGAAAACACGTAATCTAAAGAGAAATTTAATGAGGCGTTAAATATTTATAAAATCAAACTGTATTTGATGAAAAAATGATTTAAACTTTTTATGAAGTATTAGACGAATTATTATTAAAAGTTGCTGATCCGTAAATTATCTTTTTTGGCACGAAGTGTAGATTTTAATTTACAGGACAGATATCGAGTAGTAAGAAATTAGAAGGGCGTTGATTTATTCAAATAACTTTTTATTATTTACTGTATATAAAAATATTTACCGAATATTTTTTTTTACATATAAACACCGTTAAATTATTTGTTTGTGATACTGTATAATACTTTTACGTCTAAATTTAATACAATCAATTTTGACTATTTTAGAAATATTTTATATTATTATCGGCATCATCAAAATTTAAGTACTTCAAATGTTAATAGGAAGAGTAATGTCTTAATATTAAATTTTCTCTACTTTATTTGTCTATTATTTTAAAAAAAGAAATTATTTAATGAATAACTTACTTTCTATTATATTTAATACTTTTAAAATTCTATTACAAAACTATAGTATATAAAAATTTATCTCGCTAAGCAACAAAATTTTTTTAAAGGTAAAAATAATTACTATATTAAATAACAATTGTAATCCACACATACAAAAAAAAGGAAATACATATAAAATGAAAAAAAACATAAAAAAATAAAAATAAAAAATATATAAATATATATAAATATTTCATATATTTTTTTCTTTATTCATCATCGGCAGTAATATCACCATATTCAAACATTCCCATCTAAATAAAAAAAAAAATTCAATATATTTAGTATCTTCAAGTAATCGATAAAACCGATCTTGTTTTTGTTATATAACTTACCCTGCCCTTCTTAGCTTGTTCTTGAGCTTCAAGTAATTTTTCTACAACTGTGGGATTACTTCTATATAGTATGGATTTTTTATCAACTATTGCATATCCAGCTTTAACCATTTCAGTGTTAATTGAATCTTCAATGGATTGAGATTGTTTTGAGTCAAAAAGTGTAAGATGATACAAATTATTTTCTTTATAATCAATATTAGCCACAAGTTGTTTATTTTCAACTAAATCTCTAAAATGTTCATATGCTTCTAGTCCATATTCTTCCTATAACGTAGGCGTAGGAAAGAAAGAATATTTAATGAATCTGATAAAATGGAATTTTAATTAATAAAGATCTAAATATAATTTACCTCTCGATTGCGGACATTCAAAAATGAAAGTATAGCTTCTTGAGATTGAGATGGTAATTGTTTAAAATTATCGGGAAGTGGACGAACTCGACTTAATGGAATCATTTCAGACTATATGTGTATATATAATTTTTTTTTTAAAAAAAAAAAAAAAAAAATTCAAAGTACATTCTTGTTTTCAATTAAACAAATATTATTAACTTACATTTCCATAATCAACATAAATTACTTCGGCACTCTTCGAATCTGGTATAACCTTTCTTATTTTTGCACGGTACCTATTGCACACAAAAAAAAAAAATTTAATATTGAAGAAGATTTCTACTATCTTTTATAAATTTTTTTTTAACACGTACCATCGATTATCTTCAGTAAATTGAGCACTAACCATCTCATTATTTTTTGGAGTAAATGATGATGACGAACTCGCATTATTTTTATGATATAAAGAAAATTCAGACATCATTTTCTCTAACTTATGAATATCATCATTGATGACTTGTAAATAAAATCTTCCTCCTGAAATAATTTCTGTTACAACAATATCTACGTATTCTTTGCGTGGCTCCACTTCAGTTACAATTGCTACTTCTTGCTCTTTAGATACTTCATTATCTTGTAACGACCATATCTATTATAAAATTCATGTAAGCGTGATTAAATAAATTTGTAAAAAAAAAAAATAAACTATTATTAATTGCTTACATTTTTCTTTTCTGTTTTGGCACTTTCTTCGGCAGCATATAATTGTTGTGAATAAGAACTTTGACTTGCACTATAATCATGAACAGAAGCAAACCCATCTCGTAGCAACATTACGGCAAAATTTTCATTTTTAATCCACATTGTTCCGATAAATCCTCCAGTTTTATCAATATTTTCGACTTCAATATCCACATCTCGCTGAAATGTTCTACGTGTAGCAAATTCTGATGCTTCAACAGCAAATGGTTCAGACTTATCCGATGGATTACGTCCAGGCCTTGGTGCACGTATTCCTCCAAGCACAAACGTTAACTTATAGCTTTCTCTTGGAATATAAATTTTAAATCTTGATGCGTTATATACGTAATCCACTACACCAGGAACTCGACCCGCTCTTTGCAATGAATTCAAAAATTGTTTAGCTTTCGCTGCATTCTATAGAAATGGAGAAATCATAATAATGTTATTAAAAAAGAAATGTATTAAATGTAAAATAATCAAATAATATATATGACAAACCTCAGAAGCATCAATAATTCTGTAAACTGGAGGATCCTTGGGACTATGTATTCCCTTAGTGCTATTTTGCGCTCTAAATAATGAATTTATGTCAGTATTATATTGTTAAAAAAAAAAAGAAAAAAAAATTGAGAACAAAAAGAAATACATTTATTTACTTTTGTTCTGCAATCATAAGTTGATCATAAAAGCTGGACCGATCCTCATCATCTCTCCTATGGCGTATAATATGTGCTAAACCGCGTTCTAGCAAAGCCTCCGCTGCGTTACTAAATAAAGATAAAATTACTACACATTCATTATAAATCGAAATCGCAATAAATAATTATCATCTCTAATTACAATTCTCCGAGTTTAATTGTAGCGCAATCTTTTGCTTCAAATCCATCTGTCGCAGGTTTACTATAGTCAATGGTCACTTTAACCTTTAAATGCAATGAAAGAAATTATTACACCTTATTTAATTTCTATACAATAGAAGTTACATTATTACTTACAGTTTTACCGATTAATTTCTTCCGTAAAAGCTCTTTGGCATCAAAGTTATATTCCGGCAATTTTGGATCTTTGGGTCTATTATCAATAGAGAATAATTTAAATGTCTTATTGTTTTGGAAAGAAAATATAATGATGAAATTAAATTTTACATACTTTGGCTGACGAATGCTCGATAATTGCAATTTTCTTTCAACTCCCGTTCGATTATGCTTTACAGAAATTGTATCACCGGAAATTATACGCGTTACCTAAATAAAAATTATTATTAATTATTATTTTTTTTTTTTCAATTATAATCGTCCTTAATTAATAATTTACATACAGTGGCTTCAAATTCATGATCATCACCACCAGCTCTGTTCCTTGCAACATGTCCTTGCCAAAGTCGCAATTGCTTTTCTTTAGCAATGCTAAATTAAAGAAATTGTTAATAAACCGATGTGATAAGAATAACTAAAATAATAAAACCTACCTTTCAGCGGCGCGTAATTTAGTATGGCCATCAGTAACCATAGTGATACTTCGATCAGCAACTTTGGCTAAACCGCTCGTTAATAAAGCTTCCGCTATATTACCAGCAGGATGTAAAATTGAAGCAAAGAAAGCCTGATTTCCTGATAAACCTTCCAGTATCACTTTGACATTTCTTTGCAATAATCTAGTTTCAACGAAATATTTAGCTTCTTCTCCAAATGGTTCAATCAAATCTTCAACATCCGGTACATCTTTGCGAACAATTGGAGCTTTTATTCCAGAAATGTTTATATTCAGATATTGTTGTGGCGCGGGAGAGGGAGGAATGAATAAAACGCGCAAACTTGATCCATCTCGAACCTGTTCAATAATGCCTATTTAAGAGAATAGAATTTGAATTAATAATCAAAATAGTTTTGCATTTATTAAAACAAATCATAAATCATCTACCTTCGACAACCAATCCTTTATATTTATCCAAATATTCTCTCGGTTCTTCCTGTAAAGTATAATTAACTTTGCGCGAATTCTTCGTGCAATAAGAACAAATTATAGTTATTAATATTACTCATATAACAAATTTAAACAACTTTTAAAATTTGATAATGTTAAAGTACCTCCTGATCTTGAGTCTGCCAGATACCTTTACCGGCAGATTTGGCATCAGACTCCAAAGCAATAAGCGTTTCGATTTCCTCCCCCCTACTTTCTTCCTTATTCTTTCTTCCATCTTCTCGAACTTTAGCCCATCCCTCTTTAATTACCATTTGAGTGACATTTGTGACATTTTCATTACCGTATAATATGGTTCCATATTCTCTTCCGGTGGTTGGGATATTATAGTCTACACGAAAAGTAACTTCTTTACCAACCAGGAAACCACGGAGATATTCACGAGCTTCAAATGCGAAAGGCTACAGGAAAATCACGTGAACAAAAATTTCTTTAATTTCTTTATAGAAATTATTTCAGCTAATTTTTAAATTCCTGATTATAGTCTAATTAAATGTCGATTTTAAGATCTAGATCTCTATAGCAAATCAAAAATTTATCCGATAATTTAATTTACCTCATCCTCCTTTTTTTGATTTCCGAGTCTTGGAGCCTGAATATAAGCCAAGTTTAATTGCCTCTCAGGCGGGGGCTGGTTGCCGGAGGGTCTTCCACGAAGAATCAACGTATCACCAGAAAGGATAGACTTAACAATAGCTTTTTGATTTGCCATAGTTAATGATTAAATAAATAAGTCGATTTTTAGGAAGAAAAATCGAAAAATATTTTTTTTTCAAAAGAAAAAAATTTTTTTTTGATGCATATATAGATAAAACTTTATGTTGGTGCTACGATTAACAGCGAATAAGAACTTGCCATTTATCAAAAAATTTTCTAATCTGTAAATTTTCACGAGTGATGATTGCTTACTCATCACCTCAGGAGTATAATGTCATTTGACAGTCAAATGATTTGCATGAATGCTAATTAATAAAATGAAAACAATGAATATTCTATCAAACTTAATTTATTCGCTTTGAATTTTTACGATCTTTTTTTTTTAAATCTTATTTTAATAATGCGGTCAAAAACCTCAGAACGTACACCTGTTCAAGTTGATTGTCCACACATCCATAAAATAATAAAAAAGGACTCCCCGCTAGCTAAAATTGAATCATCTTCATTTAAGGTTCATTTTAAATTTTTTTATCAAACTTTACTATGTTTTCGAATATATTTTCATTATAATTCTAATCTTATCTTTTATCTTAATAAATGTAGAAGCAAATTACTAATTCTTCGCTTCATTGCGATATCTGTGAGACTAGAGCTCCAAAACTTTGGATTTGTCTGCATGTAAATTCATTCAATAAAGTTCAACCGGAAATATTTTTGTGTAATACGCTATATATGTATTAAGTAAACTTAAACTTTAAATCTTTTCATTTTTATTAGAATCGATGTCGGGCAGTTGTGTGTCATACTAGTTCGAAATCGCATATGCGTAATCATTTTGACAAGGTTTTATTTTAATCTTATCAGTAATTCTTTTTTAATCATTTTGAATTTACTAAATTAGTTTATTCCAAAAATAGGAAAATCGAGATGATTCATGTCATTCAATTTTCGTTAACCCACATACACTTAAGATATTGTGTCATGCTTGTTCATCTGAATTGAATCCATTTGGAGATAATAACTTTTTAACGTCGGAAGCACGTACTTATTTAAAAACTGTTATAAGATATCTGGTTAGTTATAATTAATTTTTTTTTCGCACATGTGATCCCAAAATTTTTATTTGTACATTAAAGATATCTCTTATCGTCAGTAGCAAATGAAACGAAACAAGTCACAAATATCGATTGATCAAATACCGATTGATGTTCCAGGTATCTCTAATTAATTTTTGTTTTTCAATTATATTAATTAGTCAAGAATCGAATTAAAAAAAAAAAAAAATTTAAATGTTCATAATACAGGCCTAGTTGGATTAAAGAATCTAGGAAATACGTGTTATGCAAAGTGAGCGGAATTTTTAATTATTTATCATATATTCTTGTTAAATTTTATATTTACATATTTAATTTACACAATCTATTTCCAATTTATTTAACAAAAGTGCAGCTCTACAATGTTTGTCAAATACGTATGTAATTCGTTAATTCAATTTATATTTAGTTTATAATGTATTAAAAATTTTTTCCCCTTCTTTATAGACCTGCTTTGGCAGATTTTTTTAATTATTGTGACGCTTATATACCACAAATTCTATATATTTCTAAGCATCCTAATTATAAATTGGGGGAATATTTCGGTCAATTTGTGAAAGCAATGTGGAATGGGACCAGGTTATTATTATTCTAAAAAATATGGTTAATTTATTTTAAATTTCTAACGTATATGTTTTTTTTAGCCCGATATTTGTACCAGTACAATTGATGAATGAGATAAGAAAATATAATGAGGTGTTCCGAGGTCATGGACAACAAGTGAGATAAATTACGATTTTATATATTGAATGATTTTCAAGATTTTCAATGGATATTTAATTAATTATAGGATTCTATGGAATTTCTTCGTTGTGTACTGGATATACTTCATGAAGAACTTCCATATCCGCAATTTATGCCTGGTAAAGTATCGAAAAACGGGGAATGCATATATATGAATCAGACAATATCAACTAGTACCAGTTCAAATAATAGTCATAATGTATGTGAGACTATTTCTTCGACTTCATCAACAACAACGAAAACTTCAACAACAGACAGAATTCAGAGGCGTCAATCTACACGTAACAGTATTATCAGTCAAATTTTCCAGGGAACTCTTGAAAGTAGAATCAAATGTTTACATTGTAAAAAGGTGATTTTTAATTTTAATTTAAATTGTGATTTAATCATGATATAATAGTTAGAAACATAATATAATAATAATCTTCGTCTATTAATAGAATTCTTTCATTTTAGGAATATTTAAAGGAAGAAAATTTTTATGATTTGCAAATTCAAATCGATAAAAAATTTAAGTTAAAATCGTCAGAAAAATTTCCAGAGAATTTATCATCATCATCATCATCATCTGGCTCTGGTTCTGTTATGGGTTCTCTGGCTGGATGGTTAGGGTGTGCTGCGTTTACGAAATATTTTTATTCGCGATAGTTTTAAATTACGACTTTATCTAATATTCGCATTTCCAACTTAGAATGAATAGTCGAGTTGTTAGACTTCAGGATTGTTTGTCTTCGTTTTGTGCAATTGAGAATTTGACTGGTGAAGACAAATACAGATGCGATAAATGCGAATCTCTAAATGATTGTCAAAAGAGATTAAGAATTACACGATTGCCAGAGGTTTTTATTTTTGTTTTTTACATTAAATATTTTAACTAATCTTATTATTGGTATTTACAAACTTTATTTTCATAGACGTTATGTATACAACTCAAACGATTTCGCTATGAATCTTGTTTTTCATCGAAAATTGCAACACATGTTCAATTTCCAATGGAAGATTTAGACATGAGACCATATTGTAAAGATTTATCTAACGAAAAAGGAAATCCTGAACTTGCAGATACACTGAATATAACAAAATATGATTTATATGGCCTTATTCATCATCGTGGCGTATTAGGAGGTATATTTATTATTATCAATCAATTGATCAATCAATCAATCAATTGATCAATCAATCAATCAATTGATCAATCAATCAATCAATTGATCAATCAATCAATCAATTGATCAATCAATCAATCAATTAATTAACAATCGTTTATTTTCTTCTTTTTGTTTTAGGTGGACATTATATTGCTTATGTAAAAAATCCAATTGATAAAAATTGGTATGAATATGATGATACTGTACGTTTTATTATAAAAATTTATGTTTGTTTAATTATTTATCAATAAATTCTGTTATTAATTATTATATATAATCAGTTTGTTACCAGAAAATCTGAAGCAGATATATCTCGGTTGGAAGCATTTGTTTTGTTTTATCACAAAAAAGGTTCAGAGAAAGATCGCGAACGGACAGAAATGTCATCAAAGATTAACGGAGATGTTAGTATATTATTCTTGGAGTGTTTTTCAATATATTCCGACAATTAACATATCTTTTGTTATATTTTAACTAGTCTACAGCAGAAACTTGTTATTTCATTTCGCGATTATGGTTTAATAGATGGCAATTTATGACGGCGGTAAATCAATATTTGTCTTTTGTGCATTTTTTTTATTAAATAATTGAATAAGCTAAGTTTCTTTAATAATAGCCTGGTCCAATAACCAATTATGACTTCATATGTCCACATGGAGGTTAGTATTTCATCAATAATTAATCTTTATTAATAAAACCGATTTTCGCGTATCTAATTTAATTAATTGAATTTTAGGAGTAAATACAAGGCGGTACCCAAATATACACAACATGGTGGTTAAAGTACCATTTAGCGTTTATACAACATTTGTTAATAAGTATGGTACGGACGGCAGTCTTCCCTTTCATTCAGCTGATAATGCTATATCGGGGTGCACCTTTTGCGAGGTATATTTACAGTTTTAAATAATAATATAATTATTATTCTTAAATATGTAGTATTATAAATTGATATTTTAATTTTAAGCAGCAAGAAGAAAAAATATTAGAACAAAGACGTCGAAAAGAGGATGAAGACATCAGGAAGATTGATACTAATTCAATAAAGCGTGGCGAATATTGGTTTTTAATAAGTGCCCCATGGCTTTTAAGTTGGCATTATTTTAAATCCGGAGGTTAATATTAATGATATTATTAACTAATTTATTGTATATTATATTTACTAAATACTAATTATTATTTTATATCAAAATAGGGTCTCCACCTGGACCAATTGATAATTATCATTTTCTTAATGAGGATGGAAGTCCAAAGGTCGGAATGGAAAGAGGTTAGTCTTTTCGCATTATTTTTAATTAAAAACAATTTGTATTCTTTACGTTATAATATATATATTATATTTTTTTTTTTTATCTTAGGAATTAATTATCGAGGAATAAATGAAAGAGTTTGGAGCTATTTTGAACATGTATATGGAGGAGGTCCAGTATGTGTTAGAAGTAAGAAATTTATTTAGAAAATTAATTTGAAAAAAGATAAATTTTATAAAAATTTAAAACTCTAATATATTTATTTATCTTATCGATTTTTTCAGATGCTATTGATCTCTATGCTCCAAATCCGTTAATTTCAGATTATACGAAACATGGAAAATCATCAAAAACAAAATGGATCAAAAAGTAAATAAAAGAATTTCGTAGTTTTTTTACACGAAATTTCTTTAATGTATTTAATTTATAATTGTAAATTTACAAAATAAAAAAAAAAAAAAAAAAAAAAAAAAAAAAAAACNCCTTTCTTTTATGTGCACCATTTGATTTTACACCACCCGATGACATGGTGTCCATAAAATCTATGATATCATTAAAATATGTTAAATACATATTTGAAAAAAAAAATTTAATAATTTTATTATGAAATTAATAATATTTAAGAAACATATTTTAATATATATATATATATTTATTTAATTATTTTAATAACCTATTTATTGAATTATGAGATTAAAAAATAATTATTTTAATTTATTTATTATAGAAAAAAAAAATAAACTTTTTAATTTTTTTTAATTTTTGATTAAATTATTTTTAAATTCTAGATCAAAAATTTAAATCAATTTGGAAATTAAGCGTGATTTAATCACATAAATTACTCAACCTACAGTACCTTCGTAATTGGAATTTCCAAATAAAATGTTAATATCGTAGTATATCGATCTCATTTTCCTTTTTCTTCCCAAAAGTTTTCTTAATTTTTGATTTTAGTTGATTTATCTTTTATCTTTAGTGATATAATTATAGGTTCTACAATTGGATTAATTTCGCTGGCCTCTTTTTCAGATAATGGTTTGCGCTTCCGTGATGTAAGACGTACCCATGCCTCATTTATTAGATTTATTAGGGAAGCTGGTAATTTTGCTAGCAAGTTAGAATATGCCTGATTAAATGCCATTATATATTTATACATTGCGCAAAAAAATGGAATTCACTCCCTCAATCAATGATTGTCTAACAGATTTGATGGATTGATTCTGAGAAATGTTTTATTAAAAAAAGTATTCTGTTTCTCTTCTGAAGAAACAAAGTTTTGGGGGTAAATTACTGCGAAAATGTAATACTATTCAAGATAAATCACATTAAATGTATTACGTTAACTGGATAATAAATCATGTAATTTCCGTCACGAAATCGTGCCGATCGAATAAAAAAAATCACGTTATTTTAGTGTAAATGATTGTATTATTATTTTCAATGTTATGAATAAAAACGCTAGTGAATTAACAATGTGGAAAAAAAATATAAGTTATAGCGGAAAAAAAAACATCTTCTAAATCAATGGTGAAAATTCTGAGGGCGATCCACCGGGACATGGAGATTTAGGAGATGATGTTTGATTTTTTTCCGCCTTCCTTTTCTTTAATGGTGTATCTTCAATTGAAGTTAAATGGAGATTATTGTCTCCTCTTGTATTATCTACTGCGATTGCTTTATTTACTACCCTGACCGTTGACAGGACATCAGCCTGTAATAACAAAGAGTGGTTATTATAAATATTTAACAAGTTATCTAAAAATATCCATTTTCAATCCTTTACCTGCCAATTCATTAGATCTTTTAGATCGTTAGCGAATTGTTCAAAGTCTCCAAAGGAGGCGGGTAATTTGGTACGCTTAAAGCGTTGAAGTATATATATCGATGGAATTGGCCGAACTAAATATTTAATTTCGATAAACCCATCTAACCCATCTATAAGAAAATATTAAGAATATATAAGTAATCAACCTTCATAATATTTGGTTTCTGATTGCAATACTTACTAAAAGATTGTACTAAATATACTCGTGCACGGTCCTTTGGTATAGTTATTAACAATTTGTTTAGAGTTCTCATTGCGTTTCGACACAATTTTAACTGATCGCCATCTTTTTTGGACTCGGGTGCCTTTCTTCCATACGAAAATTCTACAATAATTATGACCTGGTCTTACCAGTCGTCCTGATCACTTTGTACAATCCATCAAATTTATGGTCTTTTGTGTCCGGAGTAGTTTGTTCAATCCTTAGTTAAACAGCAAAGATTAGTAGGTTTAATAATCCAAAACTTCGAATTTTAAAATTGATATTTACCATGCAACATCTAATTCGTCTTGGTGCATCCTAAAAAATGATATATAGACAATTGTCCATCAGGCAACACATTAATCTAAAAGCGAACAAAAATTAAGTTATATACTAACTTTTTTCTTTGATGTTCGCTTGATTTGTTCCAAATTATTCATATTACGGAAGTAGCCATGACCTGCCTGCGTCGATGTCCCACTTCTCTAATATAATCATTATATTCTAATGTACGCTCAATGGTAAATTCCACCTAAGAAATATAAGATTATTAATAGTTATATAACAAAGAAGAAAATTTAGAGCAAATATTTACATCCAAATTTTCGAGAGTAGCTTCGTATTCCTTAGCATTTCTATCCTTTTCAACATCTTTCCAGAAGTTCATTACCTCATCAGTATTTATCTCTTTCTATTTATGAGAGATGGATTAGCGATCATCTATAATAACTGATGTGATTGTCAGCTGGTATCCGTAAACACATCGAACACGAATGGATCATCACCGACTTAGCCTAGAACAGTATGCATCAAACACAAATGGATCCAAACAAACTGTTCATATTGTTAAGGCGTTGTGATGTACTAACGAATACCAGCAGATGGGCAACAACAGAACACGAATGGATCATTAACAACTTAGCTTAGGACAGTTCGCATCAAACACAAATGGATCAATATAACGAACTGTCAAGATTGTTAAGTTGTTGTTGATGTGCTAAGCTTACTTTTACTCTAAAATGATCACTTAACTGTAAAGTCATTCAAAGCCGAAGTTCCCACAGATAGTTGTTCGTTCGAGAGTTCTCAAATATGTATTATGTTCTTTTTGTTTATTATATGTCCAATTATCTTCATTCTGTCGAAAGTTGAGAAAGTTAAAAAGCGACCAATTCGAAGTTTCTGAAAAAAAGGTTGTTCATTTTAAGAGGAAAATCTATATGAGCGGGCCAGAAATGACGTAATTTAATAAGGGAGGGTGCAGGATGATGTTACACAAGATCTTTATTTCCATTTAGAAAAGATGACAATACGATAGATTGGTGATACAATTTCATCGCGTATATATTAAGAGGTTTTATCTTAAAAATTTACATCCAAAAAATCAAAAATGTAATTTTTTGTAGGCGGTATGAAGCAAAGTATTTTAAAGAATCAACATATTCTAAAAACTATCTTATTCAAAAACCTGGAAATCTTTGTGAACAATATGTGAATGCTTTTGCATTCTCGGAAGTCATAATAAAGCACCAAACAAAAGAGAGCTGCAACTACAAGCTCAAGATAACTGGCGTAAAATTAAGACGAAAGATATTAAAAGATACCATTCAAAACATTATTTTTGAATTATTACATACTGAGAAAGGATCAAATCCGAAGTCCTGGATTTAAAAAAATTAATACCGCAGCAAGTCACGAGTAATCTTTTTTACTTCAAGTCACGTGATTTCGCGTAAAAAAAAAAAAAGTTTCGAAAGAAAATAAAAATCTCTGTAGGACATGGTAGGATTCGAGAAGAGTACGGACTGCACATGTTACCGATTATATGACCTGTAGGAGATTCGTTGAAATTTGGATCTGGTAAAGGAATATTAGACACCTGGATGAGAGAGCAATTCTTCCTGGCTCGATTACATTTTACATAATAGATTTAGATTTTGATTAATTTCCTATCCTTGGATTCCTGGATTTTTTGAATTTCTTTACGAAATTCGGATCAACCATCTTGTACGGCCTCTGGATACTCTCTGGATTATCACGTAGTTGTATCTGGAGATTGTAGCTGGAGATCTGAAGAGTTTGGGATTTTATTAGATACTAGAGAATCGTAAGTATTACGTTGGATGGAAGAAGGAGGAATCCAATGTTTTATAAAACATACTAGCCAAGATGGTCTCTTGGGACACTAGTTGGAACCATGATAGCACTGTTCTGTTGGAAAGGTAGCGTAAAGCATGGAGTACCGTACGTTAGGTTACGAGCGTGTCCTTATGTGGGAACGTGACAATGTTTTATAATTACGTTGCAAAATTTTAAATTTCTTTCCTTATTTTGGTTTTGTTTTGTTTTGTTTTTGTGTTTGTTTAGTAGATAGAAAAGTTAGTTATAGGGGCGTATAGTAGTAGTGCTTGTGTCTCTAGGTATTTTTTTTTTTATTTTTTTATGTTATTGCAGTCCTTTGTATTACAGGCATAAAAAAATGCGTACTATTATTAAAAAAAAGGAAGACATAGAACTCTAATGCATACTTTTAAAGACCCTTGATCGATGTTTTAATTTTTTTAAAATTGTATGAATAACTTTTTTTTTAGTTTGTTGCTTATTTTTATCCATTATTTTATTATAATTTTAAATAAACTGCCAATAAAAAATATATTGTATTTTATATGGGAGAAGTTCAACATTTTCCAATTTTTTTTATAATTTTCTTTAAAAGGATTCAAAAATCACTATTTTTTGGTTTAACCCTATTTTGTTTGAAGATTTGCTGCGAGTGTTCGTGTGAACGAAACCAATTGATGAAACCAAAGATCTTTTTACTAATTTAATTAAAATAAATAAAACGCCTGCTAAAACGTACGGAAACTAATCAAGGAATATCGTATCACACAAAATTTATTCACTACATAAAATTTTATATGGCTAACTTATATTTATGATAATCAAACTTTTAATCTATGCTCTATATTTCATTCTATTGGTTCTGATTAAAGTCCGATATTGATGAATATGTAGAAATTTTCTCGACAATTTCATTACACTCTTCTTACCAATACTCTCATGCTGGGAAATGATACCATAAAATTATAAGATTCAAAATAATCAAAATATTTTAATGTACAGATTTATAATAAAGTAGTATAAAAAATAATGAAAATTATTAATAACAACGTAAACAGATTATACAGGACCCTTTCTATTATTAAAGAAGGATAACGGGCTGAGAGACACTTAAATTCTCTTACACTAATAGTTGTATTGATAAAAAATTAACAAAAAAAAAAATATTTTTTTTTAACTTGACTTATAGAAATGCCAACATAATTTTTTTTTGTTTTGCCATCTTTAAAACGATGATGTTCAGCGATCATAAAACATTCGACCAATCCTTTTTTTTACGTTTAATATCAAATTCACGTTCTTTTTTATAAAAATTTTTAATATGTATCATGTTAAATAATAAAACCACCAAGTTGATAAAGGATTTGAAATATTGTTTTAATATTTTTTAATTCCTTACACTAAATTCAAATTCAATAGTGCTTAAGATCTAAAAAATGTAAGTTAATTAAGAATATTTCATAAAATCAACCACATAATATTATAAAATAATAAAATTAAGCAAATTTTATATATTAACTTTATATTAACAACTATGAAAATAATACTACTTACTTTATTTAATTTTCTACAGTTAAAGTATGAATATTTAATTATTGATAAAAAAATATAATTTAAATATTTTTCATATAAATGCAATGTGTATGACTCAAGTCGAAGAAGCCAGAGAACACTCTAGTTATTGTGATTCTAATCTTTGTTATTCAATATTTCAATGTGATTTGAGTGTGATTTCAAAGTTAAAAAAGTTAAAAGAAGTCTTTTTTTAACTCACTAACTCACAAACACATATAATATATGATGCAAAGTATGTACTATTCATTATCCAATAAATATTAAAAAGAATTTGCATAAAGATTTAAAAAATTTGTTTCGAATAATTTTTATGACATGATCGACATCGAAATATTACTAAGAAGCTCCATTTGCTCCATTACGTAATGCTTACATAAGTAAAATTATGCAAATTTTTGTGTTACCTGTTACTTGTACGTACGAAGTTTATTATAAATAAGATTTTTATTTGAAAAAATTTTGAAGCTTTTGAAAACAATGTTTTCTCAAAATATACCTTTGCCACGAAATAATATTCTGAAACAACATCTAGAAACCAATTTTACAAATTGGACCAGTGGAAATGAAAAAATTAATAATTTCATTCAAGAAAGGCAATTAAAAATAATCAACTATGGCTATGATATAGTGCTCGAATGGATACCATACAATCAGTTTAATGAAATTAAAGAGACAGGCAAAAATGGCCTTATAACAGTATATTCAGCTATATGGAAGGATGGCCCATTATACAAAACGAATATACTAAGAAATTCAAATAACAAAGTTGCTTTAAAGTGTTTACATAATTCACAAGAATCTATTGATTCTTTAATAAATGAGGTGTGAAATTTCTTCAAATATTTAAATACTTTTTTTAATTAGTATATTTACAATCTCTTTATTTATATTTAGGCTAAAAAATATCCAACAAAACATGAAGCATTTCAAGTATTGTATGGAATATCTCAAAATCCAAATACAGGAGATTATATTTTGATTCAAAGTAATACTATAAACTTTGCAAATTGGATTAGTGGAAATGAAAAAATTGATAATTTCATTCAAGAAAGGCAATTAAAAATTAACTATAATGATGTAGTGTTTGAATGGATACCATACAATCAGTTTGATGAAATTAAAGAGACAAGCAAAAATGGCCTTATAACAGTTTATTCAGCATTATGGAAGGATGGTCCATTATACAAAATGGGTAAGAGCAATTATGTAAGGAATTTAAATGAAAAAGTTGCTTTAAAATGTTTACATAATTTGCAAGAATCCGTTGATTCTTTAATAAATGAGGTATGGAATTTCTTCAAATATTTAAATACTTTTTTTTAATTAGTATATTTACAATCTCTTTATTTATATTTAGGCTAAAAAATATCCAACAAAACATGAAGCATTTCAAGTATTGTATGGAATATCTCAAAATCCAAATACAGGAGATTATATTTTGGTTCAAAGTAATACTATAAACTTGAGTGGAAATGAAAAAATTGATGATTTCATTCAAGAAAGGCAATTAAAAGTTAATAACTATGATGATGTAGTGTTTGAATGGATACCATACAATCAGTTTAATAAAATTAAAGAGACAAGCAAAGATGGCCTTATAACAGTTTATTCAGCAATGTGGAAGGACGGTCCATTATACAAAAAGAATAGAGTGAGCAATTATACAAGAGATTCAAATAAAAAAGTTGCTTTAAAATGTTTACATAATTTACAAGAATCCGTTGATTCTTTAATAAATGAGGTATGAAATTTCTTCAAATATTTAAATACTTTTTTTTTAATTAGTATATTTACAATCTCTTTATTTATATTTAGGCTAAAAAATATCCAACAAAACATGAAGCATTTCAAGTATTGTATGGAATATCTCAAAATCCAGATACAGGAGATTATATTTTGGTTCAAAGTAATACTATAAACTTGAGTGGAAACGAAAAAATTGATGATTTCATTCAAGAAAGGCAATTAAAAGTTAATAACTATGATGATATAGTATTTGAATGGATACCATACAATCAGTTTAATAAAATTAAAGAGACAGGCAAAAATGGCCTTATGACAGTTTATTCAGCAATATGGAAGAATGGTCCATTATATAAAAAGAATAAAGTGAGCAACTATACAAGAGGTTCAAATAAAAAAGTTGCTTTAAAATGTTTACATAATTTACAAGAATCTATTGATTCTTTAATAAATGAGGTATTAAATTTCTTCAAATATTTAAATACTTTTTTAATTAGTATATTTATAATTTCTTTTTATATTTAGGCTAAAAAATATCCAACAAAACATGAAGCATTCCAAGTATTATATGGAATATCTCAAAATCCAGATACAGACGATTATTTTTTGGTTCAAAATTATACTATAAACTTGGTTGATTGGATTAGTGGAAATAAAAAAATTGATGATTTCATTCAAGAAAGGCAATTAAAAATTAATAACTATAATGATATAGTGCTTGAATGGATACCATACAATCAGTTTAATGAAATTAAAGAAACAGCAGGTAAAAATAAACTTATAACGGTGTATTCAGCAATATGGAAGAATGGTCCATTATATAAAAAGTATAGAGTAAGCAATTATACAAGAGATTCAAATAAAGAAGTTGCTTTAAAAGTTTTACATAATTCACAAGAATCTGCTGTTGATTCTTTAATAAATGAGGTATGAAATATTTTCAAATATTTAAATATTTTTTTAATTAGTATATTTACAATCTAATTATTTATATTTAGGCTAAAAAATATTCAACAAAACATAAAGAAATTCAAGTATTGTATGGATTATCTCAAAATCCAGATACAGGAGATTATATTTTGATTCAAAATAATTATTTATGGACGAGTGGAAATGAAAAAATTGATAATTTCATTCAAAAAATGAAATTGAAGGTTTATAATTATGATGATGTAGTACTTGAATGGATACCATACAATCAGTTTAATGAAATTAAAGAGACAGGCGAAAATGGCCCTTTAACAGTATATTCAGCAATATGGAAGGATGGCCCATTATACAAAACGGGTAAAGTAAGCAATTATGCAAGAGATTCAAATAAAAAAGTTGCTTTAAAATGTTTACATAATTCACAAGAATCCATTGACTCTTTAATAAATGAGGTATGAATTTTTTTAAGTATTTAAAAACTTTTTTTAATTGGTATGAATGTATGATATTTACAATTTCTTTTATTTATATTTAGGCTAAAAAATATCCAACAAATCATGAAGCATTTCAAATGTTGTATGGATTATCTCAAAATCCAGATACGGAAGATTATATTTTGGTTCAAGGTAATACTATAAACTTGGCAAATTGGATTAGTGGAAATGAAAAAATTGATGATTTCATTCAAGAAAGACAATTAAAAATTAATAACTATGATGATATAGTATTTGAATGGATACCATACAATCAGTTTAATGAAATTAAAGAGACGAGCAAAAATGGCTCTTTAACAGTATATTCAGCAATATGGAAGGATGGTCCATTGCATTACCAGTATAGTGGATATGTAAGAAATTCAAATAAAGAAATTTCTTTAAAATCATATTTGTATAATTCACAAGAATCCATTGATTCTTTAATAAATGAGGTATGAAATTTCTTCAAATATTTAAATCTTTTAATTAGTATATTTACAATCTCTTTTATTTATGTTAGGCTAAAAAATATTCAACAAAACATGAAGCATTTCTAGCATTGTATGGAATATCTCAAAATCCAGATACAGGAGATTATATTTTGGTTCAAAGTAATACTATAGGCTTGGCAAATTGTATTAGTGGAAATGAAAAAATTGATGATTTCATTCGAGAAAGGCAATTAAAAATTAATAACTATGATATAGTGTTTGAATGGATACCATACAATCAGTTTAATGAAATTAAAAAGATAGGCAAAAATAGCCTTATAACAGTATATTCAGCAATATGGAAGGATGGCCCATTATACAAAATGGATAAAGTGAGCAATTATACAAGGAATTTAAATAAAAAAGTTGCTTTAAAATGTTTACATAATTCACAAGAATCCATTGATTCTTTAATAAATGAGGTGTGAAATTTCTTCAATATTTATATACTTTTTTCAATTGGTATATTTACAATCTCTTTTATTTATATTTAGGCTAAAAAATATTCAACAAAACGTAAAGCATCTCAAGTATTGTATGGAATATCTCAAAATCCAGATACAGGAGATTATATTCTTATTCAAAATAATTATAGAAATGAAAAAATTGATGATTTTACTCAAGAAAGGCAACTTTCTGAACCAAGTATTGCAATGGGAGGTAAGCTTATATATATTTGTATTTGTAAATATTTGCGATATATATTTTTTAATGTTTTACTGATATTGTTATTTTATTTACACTAGTTGATCAAGAAGGTAAAATATTTTAATTTTCATATTATAAACTGAGTTAGGATATTTGACTTAACAACATTCTTAAAATTTTATGATAAAGATTATAGTTTTATCATCTCCGATAAAGTTCAAGAAGAATTGCAAAAGATCGTAAATGATACAAATGTACGAGATATCTTCTTTGGTAGAGATCATAATGATAAAGTTTCATCAAACAAGAATCAAAAATTATATATTATAGTTAATAATAATCCAACAGAACCATTACAAATGATTGAAAATTTTCCAGTAACTTATATTGAATGTGGAACATTTTCAGAAAAAATTCCAAGAAATATCCCTCCACAAAAATCATTTCCTTTAGATATCAAAGAAAAATTTGATAGTATTCTGGACGATCAAATTGGAATTAATTTTCGTTCAAAATATTGTAACCTTATTGCAATAAGTTTAGATTGGAAGATTGTTAATAGAGAATATGTAAATAAACCAGCAATTGTATTTTATGTTATTCGTAAAGGTATAATTCCTATTGGTGACGATCTTCTTCCGAAAACTATTTATGGTATAGATACAGATGTACGTGAAGGATTTTATGAACCAACTGGCATTGCATATGAATATTGTCGGGAATATACAGCATATCTCGCTTCTGGTTATAGTATTGGAATTTGCAATTTTAGAGCAGGAACCTTGGGTGCATTTGTAAAGAATTCCAATGATAAAATATGTTTGCTAAGTAATTATCATGTACTTAATTCGAATGATAACAGCATAATTGAACATATTGTTAAACAACCAGCTTATATGGACCATGTAGGGGCAATTGAAGAGAAAATAAAAGAAACAGAGAAGAATTTAGCTAGAGCGATTGATGATGATAATATTAGAGAAAAAGACAGAAAAAGTAAAGAAAAAAAATTATTGGAAGATAAATTAAAAGATGCAAATGAGGAGGTTACTGAATTTGCAAGAGTTATAGACGGTAAACGTGAAAATTGTTATATTGGCGGTAAATTTTATGGGGTTGATGCTGCCATAGCTTCATTAGAATTGATTGATCGTGATGTAAGACCAAAAGAATTTGCTATTCCAGATTTTGCGTTTGAGAAATATTCTCTTACAGTACCTCAGATTTCAGGAAGTATTAGTATTAAAGATATAAAATCATTTGATACTGATAATAATATATTTAAGGTTGGACGCACAACTGGATTAACTAAAGGGCGTATTCCAGAATTAAGTGGTATAGATATATCATGCGATCCCATGAGAAATTTATGGGTTTATAAACGCCAATTAAGAAATCTAGGCATAGCACAAATGGCAGAGATTAATGATTTAGAAGGTAGAGCTATATTTCAACCTAGATGGTTGAGTAGACAAATATTAGTAAAACAGACAGATACTGGATCTTTTATGGATGAGGGAGACTCGGGTTGCATATGGTTTGATAAAAAGGGAATGATTATAGCATTAGGACATGGGGTATTTCAAAATACTAATTCAGTAATTGCAATAGGATCACCGATAAATGCAGTGCTAAAGACCCTTAATGTTGAGCTTTATTTGGGAGATAATTGAGAAATGATAAATTTATAAAGTTATTTATTTACGATTTTTTCAATACTTTATTTTTTTTATACTAGATATTATGTATTTATTGTATTTATTATGATGGCAATAAATTATTTTTTAAAATCTAAAAATTATAATTACCACCCTTCATATTAGTAAATGATCTTTATAAAAGAAAAGACTTTCTACTTTTTCCTACCAATTGCTCAAGCAATAAATGAAATTCTGAAATCGTCTAAGTGATTTTTTGATAATAAGATTTTGAGAAAACTAAAGTTTTTTTTTAGCAACAAAAAAAAGAAAAATAATTTAATAATAAAAATAATCATAAACAGTACAATTTTGTAAATTAAAGATTACGAGTTTATTTTAATCGTACATTACAACAAATTAACACGTTTTTTGTAATAACATGGATTGTTTTTTTACAAAATTAATAGAAATTATATACAGTGTCTACTTTATTAGCACTTTCAACATTTACTAACTTTTGAGTATAACCAGACGACGTCTATTTATTTTTAATTGTCTAAATTCATTATCTCACTCTTCAATCCAATCTGTTATAAAGTTCAAATCACCTTTAGCCAAATATTTAATGTTTATTCATTTATCTGTTATTATTCTATTTAACTTAATTGTTTCTTTCTATTTGATGTTGTATTAAATTAACAAGACCATTTCCAGACGTTTCAATTTGAAAATTCTTTTAAACGATTTTGAATATAATTATAAGTATAATATGTCATTTCATTATAAATAACCTTATGAGCATCATCTTTTTGTAAGTGCGAGAATAATTTTCTGTCTAAATTCAAGTCTTGTATCTTGCTAACTGGTAATGCGAATTGCGACAAATGTTATTTCTTCTCGAATAAAAGTCATAATAAATTTTTTTTAATTTTGAAAGTAAGATAAAAAAAAAATGTATGAATTCGGTAGATAAGTTTTTAACTCATGTTAATGTTAAAAATGTTCATTTTTATGCACTAAATAATTAAAATAAATACTATACAAAAAAAAAAATTATTAGAATATAAGATTATTTAAAGTGCAAAAATTACCAATAGTTTTATCCGAAAAAAAATCATCATTTAATTGAAACGTTGAACGTCAAAGTCGGCTTTAAAAGAACTTTTTTCAAGTATTTCAAGTATATACGAATATTTTTATCTACAATTATTTCTTGGTAGGGCGTAATCATTACGTAAATTTACTGATTCAATTGAAAAATTGAAAATAAGAATAATAAGGAATCACTGATCGGATTGCATCATCTTAATCAAATTTTATTTCTCACATAGAAAGAAAGGTTACAAAATCTTTTTTCTCGAAAAAGAAAACAATACCAATTTATTATTAATACTAGTTTCTTGTGATAATATATTTTATTACAAAATATTTCATTAATTTAAAGCATTACATTAGATTTATTTTAAGCAGATATTAATTTTATACTCTAATTTATTAGAAGACGGATAATCTTTGATAATTTTTTTTTGGGGAGTAACAAATTTATCAAATCTGGCTGAGAAAATTGAACTATGGATCAGTTTCAATTTTTCGAAATCACGATCTTAATTTTCTTGACGTCAGCATATGTATTGCTCATATTTGATTACATGATGACTTAATGTATCCAATTAAAATTCTTTGATTATAGATCTTTATTTTTTTGATAGTTTTCTCTTTTAATCTTTTGGTTGTCAATTAAATTGAACATGATAAATTATAAATTGAAATCCGGAGAGTTGTAGTCGTCTCACTTGAGACTTTAAGTTAATTCACGATTAAATTATTCAAATTATTTGAAAATATGCAAATAAATTCAAATAATAATATATAATGTTGATGAATCGATAGTATAATTTATTAATTTATCCAATATGCAACTATCATGAAAAGGTAAATTTGGTTAGAGAAAAAAATAATAACGAAGAAAATTTCACAAGGATGAACAAATATAAGTAAAGAACTAATTCGTTCTAGGTTCGCGTGAAAAAAAGAATTTTACCATTCATATAATCGAAGAATTGTTATGTATAACATAATATTGTTCAATCAATTAATTAGTAAAATTGTATTTACTTGTTTATAAACTAGTACTGACGATGAAGTTTAATTTGTTTAATTTGTTTTTATTTGTTCTACTGTAAAAAAAGAAAAATTTAATATATCCGCCTATTTAAATAAAATAATTCTGAACAGGTTTATTTTTTTCACGTTTGACCAAAGCTGCTAATATCAAAATAATATTTAAGTGATAGACATAATTAGACATTTAACATGATTGAACATTATTTATTTCACAAACTTAAAATTCAGTGATATTATAGAATAACGTTATAGACTTAATAAATTATTGGAAGCCTAATTCAATTATTAGTATTTACCAAATTCGATAATGTGAATAAACTAATGATTTGACGTGATTTTTTATGAATAAAATTAAAGTACTAAACAAACAATGAATTATACTGAATCAATATTAATAATTTGTTAGTCTTATACGAATAAAATTCTTCTAAATTAAACAGATTATTCCCGCTTATTATGTGTTTTACGTATTATATGGCCTGATTCCCAAATCAACTTTAATATTGATCTTTAACACTTTTCAGATTATAATCATCAGATGTAACGTAACACATTTTTTACAAATAATAACATGATGATACTTCTTATTCATAAATGAATTATTCAAATTACAAACTAAGAGATTTATTGTTACTCTATTCTTAGTGTTTAAATAAATAATTCAGAATATACTATAAATAATAAATAGAATCTTGAGATTTAATAAAATAATTTAGAATCCATCTGTATTGAAAAAACAGTTACTGTATTATAAGTAATTCTAAATAATAAATTTTAAACATAATTATTTAAATTATAATTACCATCAGGAATTACTAATTCATCCTGTTCTTCCGAATGAAGATTTGGATTATTATAGATTTCATTTTCGTCTATAAAAAATAAAATAAAATAATTAGAAACTGATTATAAAAAATATTATTATTAAATAATAATCATATACCATCAATATAATCAAAATTATGCTTCTTTACTTGTTGTATGATTTCTTTTTTATAATCATTTTGAACATCTATAAAATATTTATCATTCAAAAAAAAAGACTCGATTTTATAATTAATCATAATTGGAATGATTTTACTTACTATTACTATTTGAATAATTTATCTGTATAATTTCAGTCACTTCAGATAATTCTTTGTTATCGTCTGATTTTTAAAAAATAATAAATTCTTTCAAAAAAGTAAAACTTTAAAATTCATAATTAAAAATTATTTACCTTCAATTATGTTAATTGATTTTGATGCGTTATCATTATTTTTGTTAATAAAATTATCAACTATATGAAATAATTAGTTGAATTATTATTAAAGTTATTTTATTTTTTAAAAAAAAAATATTTTATAATACTTACTATTATAAGGAATGTTATAATTATAGGTTTTACTGTGAAATGCTTTATAATTATATTAGTTGAATACTTAAATTAAATTAAATATAAATAATAATAATAGATAATGTACCTTCTTGTTCTTCTGTTTAATTTAAACAAATGGTAATTTAAAAACAATGTTAGTATCTTTGAAAATATAATACAAGATATATGTCTATTCATACCTTCAGTTGCATTTTTTGGTTCGGGTAGATTTTTAAATTGATAAACTTTACTTGTAAATAATCTGCTACTTGTATTGTTGTTTTCAAAATTACTTATTTCATTTATTTTTGGAGCAGTATTTGCTTTTGATTTAGATAATACGATTTTTTCAAATAATTTTTTAACTATACTCTTATTTTTTTTTAATTCATTTTGATAATTTAATCTATTCATTTCTCCTATTTTGTCATCAAGAGTATCAATATCGGGCCTTTTTGTTGGATCAGCATCCCAACATTGTTCCATTAATTCTTTATATTCTAAAGGAGTTCCTAGTACTATTTTTGGTCTCATTCCATTTATTATTTTTAGCGCAAGTTCACAATCATTTTCAAAATTAATAAAAGGTGATTGTCCTGATGAAATTTCCCACATAAGCATGCCAATACTATAAATATCAGATGCAAAAGTAGTTTGTTTCCCACAAATAACTTCTGGTGCAATATAAGGAAGATTTCCATATATACTATTTAATGGTTTATCGGCTGGTCCACAAAATCCAAAATCACTAATTTCGAATATCTGAGATATAGTAGCAAATAATATATTTCCAGAATGCAAATCTCTATGAATTGCATTTTCTTGATGAACGGAAAAAAGTGCAAAAGTAATAATATGAATTATTTGAATTCTTTCCTTCCATATAAGTTTATTATGATTTTGTTGTAAATATTCTCTTAAATTTATATCCATATGTTGCATTACAAGCATATAGTTTCCATCCGATGGGTTTTTTGTTATACCATAGCATTGAACAACTTGACCACATTTGCTACTTATAGATAAATGAGATTTACACTATAAAAAATAATGGATATTATCATATAGATTATTTTATTTTCAAATAATTTTAAATTACATACCTCTTCAAACCAACTTCTATTAGCTCTTTCAACATTTTCTAACTTTTTGAGTATTACTCTTTTCCTTCCAAATCTTTCTAATTGTTTTGCTTTTGAATCCCATTCATCATAACGTCCATCAGTCCAAACTGCCGTATAAATTTCAGAGCATCCACCTCTAGTTAAATAATTGATATTTTGTAAATTATTATATGGGATCCATTCTACTATCCTATCTGGGTTAATTGTTTCCATTTGACATTGTTGTATTAAATTATCAATATCATTATTTCCAGATGTCCAATTTGAAAAATTTGATTTTAAATAATTTCGAACACAATGTTCACAGTATAACGTAGCTAAACATTCATCATGACAGTTTTCACAAATTCTTTTTGTTCCTTCATTATAAAGAAGTTTATAATAATCAGAATCTTTATTTAACCTTTTTATTGCATATGATTTTTCATTTTTTGTAAGAGATTTATCAGCAAGAACAGTTTTTTTTTTAAATTCGTATTGTTTATCTAGGGTATTTTGAATATTATAATCTGTTAATGAATATGCTTTATTCATTACATTACTGACTAATTCTTTTCGAATTTCAGTCATGATGAACTTTAAAAAAATTTAATTAAAAAAAAAATTATAATGATTTAAAAAGAATGGGTGGAGTAAATCATTTCGTTATTGTATTGTATAGACAAATATGTCGTGTAACATCAAAAATGTTCGTTCATTGAACAAATATTATTTATTGATTGTACTGTACCACAAAAGTGCTAATTTATTTTTTTTGAAATAGAAGTTGATAGAATAATTTTATATTATCCACGCCTTAAAACATATTTTATAATTTTTCATACGTGAAACACTCAAATGTTCAAATTTAAAACGTCATCTATAACCAAATGAGTTTTATAATCCATATCATTGTCAAAATTAATCATAATTTAATTGCTAAATTTTTACTTCAAAATCAAACAATTCAAAATATCACTTTAGAAAATAATTGTTGGAAACGCTTGTTTTACCTTCAAAATTGTAGGTTTAGAGTTTTATAATTAATTGAACGAAATCAAAAAATTTTCTCATCACATTAAAAAAGTTTATCAAAAGTTTAATTTATTATTAAATCACAATTTAATATTTTAGATAACAAATTTCCATGAACAAGAATTCCTTCAATAAAAATTTTCTCATCTTCTAAATTAATATTTTTTAAATCATTATTTATATCATAATTCTTAATATTTATACATATACAATGATTTATTCCAGTAAATTCATCATCAATTATTTTATCTATAAATACTAATTTACCAGTATATAAATTATATAAAAAAATACTTGAACTAAGTAAATCATGTTTTAATATATTCGGTAATTTACGATTTTTGTTGTTGAATTTTAAAAGGAAAGTTTGTGTTAAAGGATTATATGATGAAAAATTTATTGTATATGATGATTGTACGAAGAATGGAATTCCATTATATATTGATATGATCTAAAAAATAAAAAAGAAAATTATTCATTTTTTTTTAAAAAAAAAATTATTTCATAAAAAAAGATTGTAATTGTAAGATATTAAAAAAAAATTACATACACGACATTTTAATTTATTTTCGTAAAAAGATTTAATTTCATCAATGAAAACGATTGGAATAATTTGATTCCATCGCTTACATATTATTCTTAAATTTAAAAATTGCTTTATGCTTTTTAAATAAAAATTAATTTTCGATAAATACCATAAGTAAAATATAAGAAGAAAAAAAAAATTTGAATTAATTACCTGGATTCATAAAACAATTTAGTAAATATGCCAATTAAAAGTTCATTTGGTAATGACATTGTGACATAAAATCGAAAGTTTAAAAGAAAATCAAAAAAAAAAAAAAAAATCAATTTTGATTGAGGCGTTTAGACGTCATCATTACCACCTTCTTATATCACAGATCGACATAACACAGTTATTTATTCCATTTATTTACATTATCTGTTATTGTATGACCCTAAATGATTGGTCACACGTTTATGATACTAAATAAATAAGCCCCTTGTAATTATTTAAACCAAAATTATATTAAGTATGGTCAGCGGATCCTTTATAAACCTTTTATAAAAAATTGACCTTTTTTTATCGTAAATTTACTTTGTAATCTTAATAATTCATTAGATTTCGTTACGAATTTTATTATAAAAAACAAAAAAATATTTTATAACGTTAATTCTTTGAGGTAAAATTTTTCTTTTTTCGAAATTTTTTTCATGTTGATTTTTTTATATTTTTCATAATTTTCACGTTTTTAAGCGTTGGATTATCAAGGGGTGGTTGATCATGATATTACCACAAAATAAAAATTTATATCCTACATGTCGTATTTGTCGCAGTGATGAACCAAATTCTTTTATTGCCCCTTGTAAATGTAAAGGTAAATAACGATTATTTTTTTTTTTTTAAAAAAAAAAAAAAAATTTAATATATTTTATTTATTGAAGGTACGGTAAAGTATGTTCATAGAACTTGTTTGATGCAGTGGAGAAAAAGATTAGTGTCGAATGGGTCAAATAGAAGGGAATTAGATACATGCACTCTTTGTAATTTCCGTTATATCGTTAAACAAAATTCAAAATTCGGAAATGTTATGACTCGACTAGGTAATTGTTCAAAAATATTATCTCTATTATCATGTATTTTTTTTTTAAAAAAAAAAAAAATATTTATATTTATTTTATTCCATTTAATTAGATATTCGATTTATTATAACTTGTATAATAATTTTAATTATGTTATTACCGAGTGGATATATAATGAAATTAATTATTTCGTTAACGTCAAAATTATATTTGCGTGATGTTGAAATAAATAATGTTCTGGTTTGTTCTACATTAACTAAATCATCAACAATAATATTAAAAGATTTTTATAATTCATTAATTACAACTATATCGGATAAAGATTTTTGGATCAAAGTTATGTGTAATGATACAATACAGCATCTTTGTTTAGGTTTATTTTTTCTTGGGTCTGTTAGTAATATTGTTACCGCTTATTTTGTTATAGATGAATTATTAGATTTATTTCATCAACAACAATTACAGCAACAACAACATCAACAACAACAACAACAATTCTTACATGATAATTTTGAATATCTAAATAAGAAATTTATTTTATGGGGTTGTTGTGCAGTGGTAACTTCACTTTGGTTTCATTATAGTTTATCGTCACTCAAAGTGACTACAAATCAGGTATTATATATATATATACATATATGTATATTTTTTTTTATATATTTCTTTAAAAAATAATAAAATTTAATATTACTTTTTTATCTTTTTATTTTAGGAAGAATTTCCATTATTGATATTAAGATGGGTTACAATAAGTATGGCTGTACTTGATTTTGGTTTAAGAAGAATTTTTTGGCAATTAAGCAAAATTAATTTTGATGATGGCGAAGTTTTATCTATACAAAAAATTGATTTTAATGAATTATAATAATTTAT